TCCTGAGTTTAAATCCCAGCACCCACATGGTGACTCACAACCATCTGTAAAGAAGAGGTAAAGAATTGAGAGGATGAGAAGGTGTCTGTCTTAGTCACTGTTCCATTGCTGCGAAGACACACCATGACCAAGGCGATTCTTGTAACAGAAAGCATTTAACTGGGGGCTGGCTTACAGTTTTAGAGGTTTAGTCCATCGTGGTGTGGAGTGTGGTGGCACCCAGGCAGATGCTGCAGCAGTAGCTGACAGCTACATCCTGATCCCTAGGCAGAGACTCTGGGGTCGTCCTGGGCTTTTAAAACTCACTCAGTGACACCCTTGCTCCAATGAGACCACGCCCCCTAATCCTCTTAATCCTTTCAAACAGAGCCACTCCCTGGTGACTAAGCAAGCATTCAAATATACAAGCCTATGGGGGCCATTTGTATCCAACCACCACAGGGTCCTAGTTGGCTTTCTCTGGGGCTGTGATAAACACCACGACCGAAAGTCAGTTGGAGAGGAAAGGGTTTGTGTCACAGTCTGTCATAAAGTCAGGACAGAAACTTAAGGCAGAACTGAAGCAGAGGGCATGGAGGATCCCTGCTTACTGGCTTGCTCTCCAGGTCTCACACCTCCCAGAACCACCCTTCCAGGAAGCTGGGCCCTCCCACATCGGTCATTAATCATGACTTACCCATAGGCCGTTCTGATGGAGGCATTTTCTCAAGTGGAGTTCCCGCTTCCCGGATGACCCTAGTTTGTGTCAAGAAATTACCCAGCACAGAGGTAATAGTGGGGAAATCACGTGCATGCTTGGTAATGCCACTACACAAACCCATTATTTTGTATAATTAATGCGCGCTAATTGAAAGAAACAAGGCTGGGTGGTGGATCAGTGGTAGAGTACTTGCTTAGCATGTACAAGGTTCTAAGTTCAATCCTCAGTACCACAAGAATATACATATAAAATTTATCATCACAACCACTTTCAAATGTAAAGTTGAATGGTATTAATACATTCATAAGTTTGCGCGATTACCAAGGCCACCTGTCTCCTCCTTCCATCTGTAGTATGAAAATAAACCCACCCAACAGCAACTGCCAGTTTCCCAGCAGTCCCTACTCTCCTCTGTAGCTTTATCGTCTTGACCAGAACAAGTAAAGCATCAAACACAGTAAAAAGTAGAAGGACTAGGAGCAACCAGGAACGTGAAGACAGAAAAATTAAGAAGCAGCTGGGGGTGGCAGTGTATGACTATAACCTCAGCAGGTGGAAGACAGAGGGAGATGATCCCTGAAGCCAGCAAGTTCCAGGTCAGCCAGGACACCAGTGTGGGACCCCACCTCAAACAACTGGAAACTGGAGAAGAAAAGAAAGGAAAAGAAAAATTGTACTTTACTGAATCAAAGAGGAAGAGGAGGAGAAGGAGAAAGGGATGGGGAAGAGGAGAAGGGGAAGTAAGAAAGGGGAATAGGGGGAGAGAAAAGAGGGAGCAGGGGAGGAGAGGGAGGAGGGGAGGAGACTATGCATACAGCATTAGAGCATCCCAACACTTCTTTCCCAGTACCCCCTTTTTCTTCCTACTGTGAGTAGCTTCTTTGGACTTGCTTTCTACTTCACAGATTCTCCCTTCGTCTGTGTCTAAACTTGTGCTAACGCCATTCATTCAGTTAGCTCTGAATTTGAGTTTTGAGATTTTTAATTCCTAAAAATTCCATGGTGGTTATTAAAAAAACCCAAAACCTTAATTATATACTATCCAGTTGTTGAGGAAATAGAAACTTAGAGGCCTAGATCCTCCTCCCTGACTTTAGCACAACAAGCCATTTGCTTTATGATCTCTGGCCGATAATTCAAGTGTCTGGATTTCTTCCCATCTGTTTTGGGCTGCTTCTCGCTCATCATATTTTCTCTCAGGTTTCTCCCATCTTTGCTCCCAGGCTGGAGAAGTATCTAAATGTTAGTTACAGAAATAAGCAACAGCTAGGGTGGTATTTTCATTGTCCCACAAAACCCGTGTTTACATTTGCTGGACACACAGATACCCCAGCCACCTGCAGTTACAGTGAACTTTAGAACTAGACGCTTGCTGAGTGTAGGGCCTGAGCCGCCCGGATGATTCTGAGCTGGGCTGCCGTCCATCAGGCAGCTGACTTGCTGACTTGCCTCTGCCCGTCCCCTCACCCTTTGGGTGTACTCCTCTTTGTTTTCAGTCAAAAGCAGGTGTGGTTGCGCATGATCCACACCCTTGATGGGTCCTGGACTCCTGTTTGTTTCCTTAACCCAGAAAGATGCCAAAAATGACAGAGTCCCTTCCTGGCCCTTCCTGAAAGGGCGGGATAGCCTGGGTGCCAGGATCTCCTCGCTAGCCTTGCTTACTCTGGAGAGTCATCACCACGCTTTAGACATTTCCTGCTTCTATGGAGATGGCATTTGTGTTCCGTGGTGAGTTTTTCCTTGTCCTCATTAGGAGGGCTGGTCCTCCCTGCATTGCTCACCGTCACCGGAAACTTGTCTGCATTTTAATCTAAAGTCTTAAAGGGCTCTCCTTGGTCACTTAGGTTCAGTTCTGTTTAAAGGGTGTGGTGAGATCTTATTTTTTTCCTTTCTGCAGATCCTGTGTCCAGTAGAATTCCCACTGACAGTCCATGCCTCCTGAGTCATGTGTCAAAACTCTGTATCTATGAAGATCTAAGTCTGGGATTCATTTTTGTAATAGACTCGTTTGTCTCCTTCCCTTTCAGGGGTAGAAATCTTGACTCCAAAGTAAGTGATAGCATTCAGAAATAGGACTGTTGGGATGTTGTGATGGTGGGGCTCATGAAAGAGGGTAGTATCCTTACAAAAGGGGCTGCACCAGTTCGCAGATGCCAGTCTGTAAACCAAGAGGAGCCTGACAGGTACAGTGCTGACC